CGCAAGCGTCACCATAAAGATGAAGTGCCGAAACATAGTCCAAAACCAAATATTCATCAAAAAAAAGCTAATGGTGCCTGTTTGGTAGTCTAGCACTGGCATTATCCATTACAGCTTCATGAAACCTGGTCAGTCGATTACAGCAGATGTCTACTGCAACCAATTGGACTAAATGATAAGGATGCTTGCAACTAAGCAACCGAGATTGGTCAGTAGAGACAGGCAATCTTCTTGGCAAGACAACACTTGACCACATGTCATATAAACAATGCTGCTCAAATTACAGAGTCTGGATTCAGAAACTTTCCATCATCCACCTGTCTTTACCAGACCTTTCACCAACTGACTCCACTTCTTCCAGGCTTTGGACCACTTCTTGCAAGGAAAAATATTGAATTCCCAACAAACGGTGGAAAATGCCTTTCACGATTTCATCGCCACTCGCTCTCCAGGCTTCTGTGCTGCTGACATAAACAAGCTACTGTTAAGATGGAAAAACTGTGTTGATAGTTTAGGTGCATACTCTGATTAATTGTACTGCTTCTTGTTTGAGATATAATAAACCACACTTTTGATTCGAAATCAGACATTTCATATTTAATGACCTAGTAACTACCTTGCAAGGTGGTTGTGAGGAATGCATGAGGTAATGTGTGGAAAGCTTGTGGTGTCAGTGCTTGGCATGCATAGTAGATCCTCATAAAGAACTATGTTGGCTAATGTTATAAAGAAACAGGAATAAGTAACTACAGTATATGAAAGAAGCTCAGGGGGGTCCTCAACCAGAGGAGCTAGTTTTTTATTGGACAAAGAAGTGAAGGATGCAAGGTATTCCAGGTCTGTGGCCGTATTCCAGAGAAATAGTGTAGTATTGTGCAAATACAGTAGCACTAGCCACGTATGGCAGTTGACACTTGAAATGTGGCTAGTCAAAATTGAGACATGCTGTTAAGTGTTGAATTCCCACCGGATTTCAAGGACTTAGTGTGAAAAAAGAATATAAAAATATCTAAATAATTTTGTATATAAATAACATGTTGAAATAATCACATATTGCATATGTAGAGTTAAATAAAATGTTGTTAGAATAAATTTCACCCATTCCTTTTTATTTTTTAGAATGTGGCTACAGGAAACATAATAAAGCTACTAGCATTGTGTTTCTATCT